ACAAGCCAGCATGCCCACTCAACGTGCTCAGGCTGGTGATCAAGGCTATCGTCAGACTTTATTGGCATCTCTGCATTCTGGCACAAAGCCTTTGAGGCATGGCACGAGCTCAGGCCAGAGCTCCAAACCCCTGCCTGCCGCGACGAGGCGCTCGCTCACCCGCTCTGGGACTCACCGGACATCCAGGACGACGGCAAGCCGCTCTGGTGGCCGAGCTGGATCCTCAACGGATACATGCGCGTCCGCGACCTGCGCCGCTTCATCGGTAACCCAGCTAGAGAAGAGTGGTCCCCGCTCTCGCTCGTCCAAAGCTTCACCAACGCAAAATACTACAACAAGCTCCACGAGGCACTCGACCGGAGCGAGCTCTCGTCGCTCGTAGAGCAGGATAGCTCCACAATCCCGTCAGTGCAAGATCTACCGTGGTGCTGGGCCCAACCAGCCGACGACGACGACGCCAATCCCAAACTCTTCAGAGTTGTCAAGCTCCGCACGGGCAGCCCGCTCACAAGCAGCTCACTCGGAGCCGGCCAAGTGTTCTACGAGTCGGAGAACGCCCTGATCGCGCCTGCCCAGCCAGGCCTAGTCCTCACCAAGTTCCGCCTGGCAACCGCGCAACACGCCACCGTCGTCTACTGGCGAGCTCCCAACACCAAGCCTGAACCAAACAAGCGGGGAAAGATTTTCCTCCCACGAAAGCAGCTGTACCATGTTGGCCGCACTCAACTCATGCCCCTCATCTGGAGCAACATCGTCCTCAACGGTGTTCACTCAAGCGTCCAGAAGCCCCTGCAAGTCACATCGCACAAGCTCAAACTGAAAACGCTAAGGCAGCTGCTCACTCCACGTCCCTCGAGACCAGACGCCCTCCAATGGTGGATCAACAAAGTTGGCTACGTGCCCTTCGAATCACTGGCCAGCTCCATCAGAACCAGTCTAGTCACATCCAAGCAAGCCTCCCTGCTCTGGCGCATTGCACACCGCACCACCCGACTGGGCGCCGACTGGCTGGAAACAGATGGTCAAGCCCTGCGCGCCGGCTCGCTCTCCCGCGAAGAGTACGACGACAGAATTGCCACTGGGCGCTACGACTGCGCGCACTGCAAACACGACGGCCGCTCGGCCAGAGAGACCTGGCACCACATCCTTGTCCGCTGCCACACAGCCCAAGCGGTTTGGGAAACCGCGAACGCCATCTTCCAGCACGCTCACTCAAGTTCCCTCCCAATGTTCGACAAAGCCCTCCTGTTCGGTCCCTTCCCCACCACGCTTGCGCGTAAAAAGGAAATGCGAGCGCTTGCCACGATCCTGTACCACCTCGGACGCTGGGCGATCTGGCGCACCCGCTGCGAAGCAAAAATCAACAACACATTCACACCCAGCCACACCACCTTCATCAAGCTCGTCCACTCCCGCGCCCTGCAGGACATTGTGCCGCGAGCCCCGCCTGCTGACTCTCCCACGTCGAAGATGTGGGGAAAGTGCATTGTCAGGTCAGAAGAGAAGACCACCATTTCACTTCTACCTCCGAAACCCGGTGAGCATGAGCAAACCGAGTCACCAAGCGGCGCCCGTATGACCAGGACGCTAACACCAAACTTGCAACCGCAAGAATAAGTTAAACACGTTGCCCTTGTCACTTACTCCTTGCCCCTGATCATGATCCTTCTCTTTGTGGTTTTTGAGCCTTAGAAGCTTTTCCACCCTCCAATAAACGTAATACAAAAAAAAAAAACGAGCGTGATGACGTGTACTTTTTATTGCAGATTGGGATTCGGCGCACTGTATAGATGGATGTGAATGTCAACTTTGTTCTGGAAAATCAGAGGAGGGGAAGTGGTTTGGGAAACCATGGTAAAACCGTGCGAAATTCACCTCTGAGCTCGATTTGCGCAAAAACGAGCCCGATGACGGATACTTTTTATTGCAGATTCGGATTCGGCGCACTGTGTAGATGGATGTGAATGTCAACTTTGTTCTGGAAAATCAGCGGAGGGGAAGTGGTTTGGGAAACCATGGTAAAACCGTGCGAAATTCACCTTTGAGCTCGATTTGCGCAAAAAGTAGCGCGATGACGTATACTTTTTATTGCAGATTCGGAATCAGCGCATTTCATAGGTGTAAGTACATATCTTAGATCTTCTGAAAAACGTGGTTTCAAATTTGGAAGGCAACCTAACACTTAACTCGGGGCCAGCTTTTAACCCTAACCCGTATACTCGCCTCGTGATCTAATGCTCCTGACGGACAGTACCAAAATCAAGCCCGGCGGCGGTTTCCTTTTGTGGTCATGTTGTGCCAACCCGAGCCTGAAGAGGGACGCTCTGTTTTCCAGATCCGGCGTCCCGGCTGCGTTTCAATCACCTCGCTTATTTATGTGTTTCTACCACGCAGTTTCCAATTTTGGCGCGCACCCCATCAGGATGACGTGGACTTTCATATACACATTCGGAATCAGCGCACTTTTTTGATCACAATGTTCACCTCACTTTTTTCGAAACCTGATGGCGGCGAGAGGATTTGTGGCAACATTGCAAAACAACACATTCAAAGTCGATTTGCACAAAAACGAGAACGATGAGGTGCACTTTTTATTACCGATTTGGAATCAGCTAATTTTGTAGATGACAATGGTCATGAAACTTGTTCTGTAAAAGGGGGGGGAAGAAATGGATTGTCAACAAAAGTGCACCAATTGCTAAGTTCACCTTTGAGGTTGATTTGCGCGAAACCGAGGCCGACAAAGTACACATTGTATTGTAGATTCGGAATCAGCGCGTTTTCTAGATGAATATGAATGTGAAACGTTTTTCTGCAAACCGAGACAGAAAATTGTGGCAAAAGCGGAAAATTCACCTTTCAGGTCGATTTACACGAAAACGAGTCCGATGACGTATACCTCTTAATACAGATTCAGAACCGGCGTAGTGTGTAGTTTAACATGGCCATGAAACTTGTGATGTAAAATCAGAGGGGAAGAAAGGTATTGTGAAAACAGTGAAAACAATGTGCAATTTTCACCATTTTTGGCGATTTGCACGAAAACTAGACCGATAAGATATACTTTTGATTACAGATTCGGAATCAGCACAATATTTCGAACAAGATGGTTATATTACCTCTGCTGTAAAAAGTGGGTCCAAATTCGGAAGGGACCTAACACCTAGAGAGGGTGCTTCTAATTCCGAACAAAACCTATTTCGCTGACGCTTCGATATCCGCCCCTTGTTTCGATAGTAATGCATACTATATGGTTTAGTGATATTATGGTTAGACGGAGGGGTCGATCGCACGTGCCGGGTCGGCAGGACGCCGATCGTCAGTTTGGCTCGTTTTGCTGGACATGCATTACGCGTGTTCGGAATTAAAAGCATTTCGCTAGTGGACGCACCCATACTCATCTGAGCGGCCCCTCGCCCTACTGGGCATGTGACATCAACCTAGACTCTCCGACTGGTAGCAAAGAGAGGGCATGGAACATCGCCGGGGCGGCTGCAGGCCCGTTGAACAACAAAATGGCCGGAACAATCCGAAACTGCATCTCGAGCAGACGCGGTCCTAGCCGCCTCCTTTTGCGCGGAAAGTGATACATGCAACATGTTTGTTTATTCTATGAACAGGCGGGGGCGATGGTTGCACTGCAGGAGCAAAGTCAACGCGTTGACAAGTTCAGCAGTCGCTCGGCGCGTGCCCAGCCTGAATCGACGTTTCGAGCCCCGCTCGTTGTGAAATGCAATCGCATACATCGTCTTCGTGATTGTGCATGATCGCGGGCTGGACGCACATGCGAAAATTTTCCACGATGGGTCGGGCTCGACTGAGCGCCCCGTCGCTGCCGCTCTGTGTGTCACTGCGCCGCACGTGAACGACTCTATGATCATCAGAGTCCCACATACTCCCATCTGTATCATTATCGGCGCCGGACATGGCGCAGGAGCTGTTCAGGGCTGCGGTGCTGTTCAGTGCGCTTTGCCTCCCACAGGACCAGCGCTCACCGTCTGCACCGACACTCGTAGAACAGCTCTGTCGCCCGCCTACTTTCCTCCATCAATAAAATAAGACTGGTTTTACTATAATTTCAAGCGGGGAAGCGGATTAGAGGCTTCTACATCGACTAGTGGCTCAAAAACACTCTTGTTCGGAATTAAAATCAGGGGCGTAATGGTGGCCCAGTCAAAAAAATCTGTTCGGAATTAGAGACGCCTCTCTAACTGGGAGGCAGCTTTTAACCCTCACCATAACCCTTCACCTTGCCACGTGAGCACATTAGTTATCAAACCGTGGGGCATTTTCTTTTTTTGGAATGATGCACCCACAGGCGTCACACTATTGATTCCAGATTCTGTTTCAGCCCAGTTTTGACTTGCGCTGCTCAACGTTGTGTTCTTGGAACACTTTTGCCACGTTTGGAACGAATCTCATCCGGATGACGTAGACTGTTTACTACGGATTCGGAATCAGCGCATGTTTTTTATCACAATGTTCGTTTCACTTTTTTCGAAAACATGATGGGGGGGACAGGATTCGCGAAAACAGTGCGAAAGCGTGCGAAATTTCCCTTTAATGTCATTTTACACAAGGATGCGCCTAATTCGGTATCGATATAAGTACAGATTCGGAATCAGCGCATCTTATAGAACAAAATGTTCATCTTAGAATCTTTGGAAAGAACGTGTGGGGGAAATGAATCGTGAAAACAATGCAAAAACATGCGAAATTTCACTTTAAGGTCCCTATACACTATGATGCGCCTAATTTGGTATTGATATACGTACAGATTCAGAATCAGCGCATTTTGTAGAACAAAATGTTCATCTTAGAATTTTGACAAATTTGGAACGACCCTAACACCTAACCGGGAGGCAGCTTTTAACCCTAACCCTGTTTGTTTCGTTTCATTTACTTGTCGCTCGTTGTATTGTTTGATGGATTATCACTCAGCATCCTTCCATTGCTTTTCGCCACATGGCTTTGTTTGTTGACCCTTGTGGCTGATTTTCGATTGTTTGCTGGTTTCTATGCTTTCTGGCTTTTTGCTTGCTTTGATTTTTTTTAGTTTTGTTCGATTTCGCCCCATTCTTCGTTCGTGCACGACTTTTGCTGCTGGACGAGTTGCGAGTTGTTTGTTTTTATTATTCTTCGACATGACAGCTCGATTGTTTTCTATATTTTCCAATTTCTGCTGTCATCGCTTGCTCTCAACCCGAACACTTTGGTTTGGCGCTTTTCGTTTGATTCTTCTTTGTTGCGTTGGTGGTCCAAGCGCAGCTCGAACGACTTTTTTCCCAGGAACGCTTCACTTCCTTTGTTCGTTTGCTTCTCGTACGCTGTTTTCGTGTTTGCGCATGCTCCATGCATTTTGCGTTCCTTGTCACGCGAGTGTCACAATGCTCCCATAGTTCTTTAACGTTTTCACTTTATTCAAACATTTGCTTCTTCATCGTCCGCTGGCGACTTTACATCGATCCAATCTTCTCTGTCTGCAATTCCGAGCAGAAGCTGTTGTAGCTCCTGCTCTTTTGCAGCGCGTAGTTGTCTTTCGTCAGCGAGCTCCAGCTTTGCGGCTGCGTGCTCCAGCTTTGCGGCTGCGAGCTCCCGCTCCTTCGCCGCGAGCTCCTGATCCTTCATTGCGAGCTCTTGCTCCTTCACCGCGAGCTTCTGCCGTTCGTCAGCGAGCTCTTGATCTTTGGCAGCCAGCTCCGAGCGCAATTGCTGAATTTCAGTTGTAAGAGTGACGGGACTCTGAGGCACAATGCTTGCGGCGGCTGTAGCGGCATTCAGCGCCGACGTGGCGGGCGACGGCTCTTTCTTGGGTTGGACTCTGTTCAACAATAGTTTCAGCCAATGCATCTAACCGTTGTGTTGTGCCTTGTTTCTTCAAGCGAATACGCAAAGTCTTACCTCATTTTCCCACAGGTAATGCATGTATTGCCCGTTTGTGTCAGTGCATCGATTGCACCTCGGGACAAGAAGTTCCCGCCCAACCTGTTGTCGTCGGATGATTCATAGCATGAGTCTCGTGACCGTCCGAGCATTTTACGCAATCAATCTTTACTCAAGCTTCCTCAGTGTCTTGTTCTGTTTGAGCGCCTCGACAATCGATGGAACTGCGGCATCGCCTATTTCATTGTGCCACAGACTGTCCGTCCCGTCCCATCAGTGAGCCACTCTTGCTGTCTCTCTCCTGTAGTCACCCACGCGCGCTTTAGTGGCAGTGTCTTACAATAGCTCAGTCAGCGTTGCGTTCACTTTGAGCGCCTCGGCAATCGCCTGAGCTCCGGCATCACCAATCTGACTCCAGCCCAGACTGTCCATCCTCCAGCAGTCAATACTCACAATTGCTTGTGCTGAATCATCCACTCTCATGCATCAGTCAAAGTGAGATGACTTACAAGAGCGTAGTCAGCGTTGTGTTCACTTTGAGTGCCTCAGCAATCGCTTGAGCGCCGGCATCGCCAATGTGATTCCAGCCGAGACTGCCCATCCGCTCCACTCTTAGTGCCTTTTGTTGAATAGTCCCTGACTCCCGTATATCCGTCCGACTGAGATGCCTTACAAGAGCTTGGTCAGCCTGGTGTTCACTTTGAGTGTCTCAGCAATCGCGCGCGCTCCAACTTCGCCAATCTCATTGTGGAGCAGACTGTTCGTACCATCATCCATCGTTGAGCACTCTGAATGCTGTGCTGGATCACAAGCACAAGCAACTTACCTGATCATGGTCACTGTCGTGTTCACCTTGAGTGCCTCAGCAATCGCCAGTGCTTCAGCGTCGCCAATCTGTCTGTCGTACAGACTGTTCCTCCATTTCGTCAGTGCACCCACTGCCACATTCATTCCAATAAACTCGGCTTCGTACTCGACATAGTTGGGCTCATTCGTGACTTCGTCATACAGCTCGCGCTGTGTCTGATTCATATTCGCATACGTCAGCATCATTCGAAGTGTGGGAAATCAAAACAGCGAAAAACAAAGACTGCCGAACAACCTCAAAGCGACCCAATCCTGGTGTGTATTGGCTCGTTCTAGGTCCGTGCTCGGCGTTCATGCTCATGGTTGGTGAGCAAGTTTAGTCGAAAAGTGGACGTGACTTGGCGTTTTGTGTCCCGGCGAACCAGCAACCAATCACATCTCAAAGCAAACAAAGCCAGTATAAGAAAGCATGATTGAAACTTCGGTTAAGATCGTCCAAAAGCCAATGGAAGGAGATGAGTTTGCAGTCGGAGAGAAGAGCCAATCTAAAACTCGATGCAATCATCAGCAGTGGCGAAATCCCGCTCATCATTTTCCTCAATTAACAAAGTTTGACCGCCAGGAGTGGGTCTTGGTCCTCAACCTGTACAATCGCACGAGAAGGTTTACCGTCCTGAATGAGGTCTGCCGAGATCCCATTTCCTCGATACCACACTGCATCCAAGACGTGATTGACGAGAATGGTGGCTGTTCTGAATACTAAAGTGGAGCTTGCTTGATTTGGTTGATTCTTTGCATGACTCGAGTTGAATTTTTGTGCTTTTTGTGCATGCAGTACAAATTGACAATGTCAACAGCATTCCACATTCATGTTGTTTTGCTGATGAACATACTCACGCTTTGTCACGTTTTTACGAGGGCGGCAGAAGTGTGGTGAGAGAAAATGACATGCAATCTTGCAGTACAAGGAACGTTTTCAAGGAACTGTCATCTGGAAGCCTTGAGCGAATTGGTCCAGGTCGCCGCGGTGCATCACCCACGAAAGCGGTGGCGGATTTGCAATCGTCACTCGAGACGTCAACATGACTCCGACAAGAATCACAGTGTCTTCTTCCATGACATATTCCTTGGCGAGTTCCTTCCGAGCATTTGTTTCCAGTCTCTCAATCTCGTCTTGGGTGGTGAGACGAAGAGACTTGTGATGCTTTACTTGCAGTCCAATGACTGCCGGACGCACTTTGCCGCTAGTCTGCAATCAACATTATGCCAACAACCGTGAGTAAAGATCCAAACCACAAAAGGGCGGTAGGGTTTGGCAACTTACCTTCTCGACGACTTGAGCATGCATGTAACAGTCAATAGCCGGCTCAATGTGAGTCGCGAGTGTACATTCAGCATTGTCGAGCTTCATCATGCACTCCAGGTCTTCCCTCCAATTGCTCAGTGGCAACCGAAGTTGGAGTTCCTCACATCCCGCACCAAACTTGACGCCAGGTAGCAGCCGACTCAGTGGTACGTCCATGTGAGCCGGCAGCTGTGGTGCACCACTCTGCTCTGCCGCGTCAAGCTGTTTTGAAGCGTCAAGCTGCTTCGAAACACCAAGCGTTGAAGCGTCTGCCTGTTTTGAAGCACCAAGCTTCGTTGCAACGCCAAGCTTGGAACTGTCAAGCTGTTTCGAAGCGTCAGCATGATCCAGCAGTGCTTTGGCGACAAGTACAATCAATCGCAAGCTGAAAAGGATGCCCACAGTATGCTCCCACGCAACTGCAGTATGATAATAATACGAGAAGTGACGGTCCAGCCAGCGCTGAAGTCCATCGACGTGGCGGTAGGCCGAGCGCACCGTTTGTGCGAGCGTGTCACGTCTTAGTGGGGCGTCACCCGAAAGTAGATCTGCAAACACTCAACGAGCACGTCAACTTGTCGTTTCTCAGGTCACAAAAGCAATTCCAGAAATCCTCACCAAGTTTCGACTCGCTGGGCAAATTGAACTGCAACGACCCTCTGCTGTCCTTCTCGCACGCTGTTGTTTGTCGTCAATAAGGCGGAAGGAGTCAACACAACAATCAGTCAAATCCAGCATCTTGAAGTGTGACAACCAGCCAACTGACCGACGAAAGCACATCCTGTGTCAATCCAAGAGCGAGTTCGGGCATCCAGACTTGAAGGATTGATCGAGAACGCGTCGAACGCACAGAAGTGCACGAGCTCGATAAACGTGCGGGCATTCAGACAGAGTTTAGCCGCCGCGCCACTTGCCATCACACCAAGAACCTTCTCAATGTGGCATGGTATGCCACCGGAAGGATGCAACTGGCTCTCGAGGTTTGCATCTACGCGCTTGGGTTCAGGCACCACCTCCTCATCCACGTTGTATTTGCTTGAAGCAGAGGTTTGAGAGTGGAGCGACTCAATCAGGCCAGTGGTGAGTCATCGGACAAAGTGCCAGCGTAAAGCACAAAGAGTCGCGCTGCGGGGCGCTTAACGGCAGCCTTGAGTGACGCGAGAGTCTTGTCCAGCAGCTGACGTTGACGTTGAGCGTTGAGCCAGCTCGAACAGCCAAGCAACTGTTGAATTCCGTCAACAGCGATGGCAAGCCACGGCAGCTGATCTTGACTCGTGGGCTGCTGACTGTCGTTACGAGCCGAGTACTCAAACTCTTGTATGAACTGAAGCGTAGCAGCGACCTGGAAGCTGCCAGTTTGTTCAAAGTTGTCCTGAAAAAACCTCGGGGGAATTTCAAAGTAGGCAGCCAGCAGGCGAGTCGACAGAGCATGCTCCGGATTGGCTTGCTTGAGAACTGTCCAGTCGTTTGCAGAGTCAAAACCGAAAGGACCGTCGAAAGAGACGGATAAGCACAACAGATCGTTTCCTCTGTACCGATGAGCTGCCGGGGCAATTTGATGCACAAACGCGTCACACAGACACGAGTTCCCTGTACCAGGGAATGTGGCAGCAAGAAACGACCGATGTTCAAATGGATCGGTGTCGTTTGCGAGCGTCTTTTTCATCCGTTTCATCAGCAGCGCCTCGATGGAGGAGGAGGTTCTCTCCAGTCGTGTGTAGCTGTCCTGCAGAGCAACACCATTAGTCAAACTTCACAATTCGGTCATTGAGCTCGACTAGAAACGTACGTTTTTCGGTCGCTTTCGCTCCGGTGTGATCAGGCCACGGAGCGAATCGCGGATCAAGGCTGGCGTGCTTTTCAGGTCTCCTGTTGTTCCAGCATGCGTTCATGAGCGCACACACACACACACACACACACACACACACACACACACACACACACATACACACATACACACACGTACCATTGCGACTGGACAGAATAGAAGCCAGCCAAGCCCAAGCTGTCGCCAAAACCGGCTGGGTTTCGTTGCCCTCGTCGCCGTCCTCATCGTTGCTTTGCTGTTGAGAACAAAAAATTCAAGGTAAGAACAATGGCTGCCATCGTCACAGGCTGTCAAAGCATGGCACCACTGCGGTGAAAAATTTCAAGCACGTCAGGTCGGCAAAAGAAAAAACAAACGAAAACAAAATGGCGCGCAACTGCCGAGACACCTTTGAGAGCTAAGTGTTCTCACTCACCCTTCGCACCCGTTCGTTGAAAGAGTTCGTGTAGAAGACGAGAGGGGTACACTATAACAGGTCTCGGCCCACTTACGGTTCTGACACGCTTGTCGACGTGACCTCCAGGAGAGTCCACTGCTTGACGCTTTGAAGAAGCCGAAGAACTCATCGCAAAAACTGAAAAAACAAAGCAGACTGATTCAACCGACAGGTCAAAGTGATTTTTGTTTGTCGGCATCGTGTCGTTTATGGTGAGTTTGGTTCTTTTGATCGAGCTTCATCATGACAGAAGACGCTGTGCATGCTGTCTCATATCCTAAGTTCTTTTGTCTTTGCGATTCTTCATAAAGCTTTAGACGGTTAAAAAAATTCAACTGTCTCATATCCTACGTTCTTTTTTCTTTGCAATTCTTATACAGCTTTCGACGGTTTGACAAACGGAATCAGGTCTCGGGAAAAACAACCCCGCTGTTACAACATTGCACCAATTTCGCGACTTGTCGTGCCGTCTTCAAAGTTTCGCAGACCTTTGATGAGCTGCGTAAAGCTTGGTCGCAGCTCTGGGAGAATGTTCCAGCAACTGAACATGAGGCTAAATAGGTCAGATGTGCAGTGCTCTGGCGTGGGCAGCCGACCGCCTCCTTCCAAATAAGCCAGAGTCTCACGCCCATCCATCTTGCCGTACGGCGTTGCGCCGTAGCTACAGCACTCCCCTGCAACCAAGCATCGCCGTCGGTGAGAACAACGTGTTGGCCTACATCATCGCGATACATGTCGAGCCCGCGACTTACAGGCTGTTAGAGTGACGGTCTCTAAATCCGGATGGCGCCTCCTACGGCCTGTGTGCAAGCTTCCGCTCGCGCCTTGCCCCCCTGTGTCAATCAGTGCATCAATACCAATGTGTGGGTGAAGTAGCGGGGCGCTTTGGCCCGAACTCATCGCTAGGCACGCGAAAAACGAAAAAATGACGAAAAAGCGGATCCAGCCAAAATCCAATGCATCCGGATTAAAATGCAGGTGTTTTTGGGGCCGCCACGAGGTTGATCGCAAACGCGCCCTGCGGGCTCTGTGACATCGCCAGCCCGCCTTCCGCGAGCCAAATGCAGTCTACACACGATAGGTGTTATCGTGACCAAGCGGGCGCGGAGGTGCGGTCGACACGAGCGTGGGAATGGAGGATACGCTCGAACACCACTTTTGCAGCCAATCCATCGTGAGCTCCCGTCCGGCTGCTAATCGCTCTTCGAGCTAGATTGATGGAGTATATGACATATCAAACCATTTTATTCAATAAACAATACAAAAATCAGGCAGAGTTTACATTTAGTGCGACGAACGGCCGTCGGTGAGCATTTGTTGCTTGTTTGCTCAGGCGAATCACAAGAGATGGTGGATCTTCAACACGAGGACGCTTGTCAAGGTGCTCAGGCGTCGGGGCAGCATTAGAGGCTAGTTGAGTAGCGGAACTGCGCGTTGGGAGGCGACTTTGGCGCATGCGGGCCACTAGTTCATCGGTAAACTGCACTCCGTCGTATGAACCGTCGCTGTCGGACCTTTCAGAGAATGTTCGTTTTGCTGGTGTGATTGCGATCGTTTGCTGGGTCGTCAGGATGGGGAGCGACGGCGAGGGCAGGCTCTCAGTCGGATTTGCAGCAACAGGCTCTGCAGCCTGCGACAAAACTTGCTCTGATTGACGCAAAGCAATCTGTCGGGCACGAGCGGGAGTTTGAGTACGAGCAACAGGGGCTCGAGTACGTTTCGGAGTTGAAGCTTGAAGTGCGGCCAGCTCGTTGCGAGCTTGGGCGAGCTCTGCTTCGCGCAAAGGGTCTTGCAACTCGGCGGCGGCGGCGAGTTCAGTCTGCAGTGCACTGATTCTCCGTGTCAGAGCAAATTTTGCGTGCTCGGCGGCGGCCTCGGCAGCCATGGTACGTGACCGGTTCATCAATCGAGTCATCTCCTGCGCAATCTTCGTTTGTTCTTGCAGTTTTTTTGCGTTCGCCCGCTGCATTGCCTCCTCGGTAATCGCCAGATACGCGCCTTTCGTATGCTTGTGCTTGTAGGTAGTGCTGGTTTGAATTGCGAGGGAATAGGAAGCACGCTGCACGATATCATCGACGGTGATGGGGACGCTCAGCAACTCGCGAAGTTTGCCAACGTGACTGAGTGCATCTCGTTCTAGCGCCTCGGAACTGGGACCAGCTGCAAGTTCAACATCGGCATCATCGAGGATTAGGCGAGCCTTCTTGAATATCAAACGCACCGGCGAAAGCGAGGGAGCAGGGTCTGGGACGCTGGCATACCCGCTCTCCACCGAGGGCAAAGGCGGTGTGGGGTGGGATATCTCGGCACTCTCGACGACGGGCAGCGTTGGAGTCGACAGGAGATTGGGGACGCTCGCCGTGTCTGTGGGCGTTGCAGAAACTGGCTGGACGGGCGCAGCCAAGGCCTCTTTTCCTATGAGTGATTCAGTTCTGCTCGCATGGTCCGGGCTCACCACCCACTCGCAGTATGCATTCTTGTCCAAAGGCCAGATTCCAGTCTTTTTAAATCCAGCAGTGATGACGGCTGTATTTTGCGAAATCTTGTACCACGCATTCAGAGCGCAATGCACTCGCATTTGGTCGTCCGAGGCAAAGACGCCAGCTGCAATCGCGCTCGCATACTCTGCTTGTAACTGACGCTTGAAGTAGCCAAACACAGTGCGATCGAGTGGCTGAGTCTCAGTGCTCGTGTGCGCGGGCAAGACAAGAATCTGAATTTGATCGTAGAAAAACTCGGCCACCAAATCGTGCTCGAGGCTGTGCGTGGATGAGCCATCCATGATCAAAAGCAGCGGGCCTGACGGGTGTCTTTCTCGCATGCAGCTTCGCCACTCGCGCAGATAAGTTTTGAACAAGTCTGAGGTCATGTACCCCTTCTCGGTCGTTGCGGTAGAGCAGGCGTCAATGGGAACGTGTTGGCAAACCGTCGCGACGTTCGTACCCTTCGTAAAAATCAGCATGGGAGGGAGCGGCGCAGTTCCATCGGCACACACCAAGAAGACGCCGGTGATGTGCCGTCCGAGGCTGTTGTTGTGCCCACCGCCAACGAGCGCGACACGACCCCACGATGCCCCTAATACAGTCGATCCCTTGACGCGAGAAGAAATCTCGCTCTCGTCAAAGTTGCTGACGCGGCTCGGCTCGACGGTAAGGAGAGGATGTTGATCGTAGGCCTGTTTGAGTTGAGTCGGGAGAGTCCCGAGATTGTCGGGTGTCAGCGCTGCAGCCCGGCACACTTCCAGCACACGGCCCTTTCGAAGCCTGACGCGTCCCTTCGCTCGCTTCAAAAAGGTGGCCCACCAGGACCGGCTAGGCGTGTCTTGGACAAACGCCCGCCTTGGTGAGCCGTCGAAAGAAGTTGTTTCAGAACACGGTTTCAAGTACTTGGCGGCCTGCGCTTTCGTCAGACAGCATGACGCGCGAGCAAACGCTTCCAATAAATTGATAATTGCATCAACTTCGTGATCGGTAAAGATGGGTGGTCGGCCTTTCGTGCGGGTGGACCGCGCCAGCTCGATCACTTCATCCAGCGTTCCAGACTGAATCAGTTCGCGGTGGCCCGCGTGGAGTTGAGCCCAGTCACTGACAGTCGACTTTCCGCACTTGAAGCCAGCCTGCCCCAGCCGCGCGGCGACCTGTTCACATGTCCATTGAAATGGTGTTGTCGTACAACCAGTCGAGAGGGTCAGCGGACCCGGGGTTAGCAGCTTGAGGGCGATGGCGATGGCGATCGGTCGTCGGTTTTTTCCAGCCGCCTCGGCGAGTCGCCCAAACCACCCCGCGACGATCGCAGCCACCTCAACAAGACACTCCATGTGATAACCAACTCGATTTATGTACAATGGTGAAAGAGCCGAGGCGAAGCGATGAATAGACTGCGAGAAAAACGCCTCATCCGGATTAAAATGCAACTCTCGAGGTCTGTAATGCGTCCGGATTTAGAGACAGTTACTCTACGCCGAACGACCACACGTCGGACATGGTCGAGAACTTGCGGAAGGTCATTGTTTCCGGCGCCATCCACTGCATGTGAAACGAATAGTCAGTATCCCAAATCACAAGCAGCAACATTTGCACACACACCTTTGACCCACCTTCACGGGAAGTTTGCCACGCGTTTGCATGCGATAGTAATCGTTCTCATCGGCCAGCTGTCGAGAGAGCCCGAAGTCGGCAATCTTGACCACCATCCCTTGCCCCACAAGACAGTTGCGCGCGGCAAGATCACGATGCACAAAGTGCAGCGTGCCCAGATACTCCATGCCCAGCGCAATCTGACGAATGGCATGGATCTGCTCATTCTGCGTCCACCAAAACGACTGCTTTTTGGACTTTTTCAGAAGAGTGTGCAAATCACCGTACTGCACAAACTCGAGCAGAACGAGATGGGGCTCTGACTCTACAAGAGCCGCGAGCAGGCGCACGACGTTCGTATGCACAAACGGCGCCATCAGCTTTGCCTCGCTTTCAAAGTCTTGACGAGATTTCTCATCTGCATCAGACTTGACAGACTTGACTGCAACCTGCACGATCTCGGGCGTCGTAGATCCGAGCAAGGCCTGTGCTCGCGGGGGCAACATGTTGAACGGCACTCGACCCAGTGCGACATCGCCAAAGTTACCACTGGCAAGGTACTTGACAATCGTCAAGCCTTCACGAACACGACGAGAATTGCTGCCGGCAACATACGCGCTTGCATAATCGTAGACCACCTCTGCAGCATCAGTCGAGAGAGCTTGGTACAACGGATCTGGCTGCTTTTGCCCGACGGCGGCGTAAGCTTCAATGTCCTCCTCTTTGTGAGATCCCGTCGAATGGTTCAATGGAGAGATTTTCATTTCAACAGCCTCCTGATAAACGGGACCGGTAGAATCCTTCGGTCGCTTGACTGTGCGTTGTGAGCGCCGGCGGACGAGCAAGAGAACAACCAGTGCAATCAGAATGAGCGGAATCAGGACGACGGCGACAACCCAGCCCTGCGAGCCGCCAGCAGCTTCCAGCGTCGTGGCGGACGTGCCAAAGGGACCCAGGCTAAAGCCAGCAGCAGTGAAGGTGCGAACGCGGAAGCGGTACTTGGATTCAGCAGCGAGGCCAGAGACTGTGGTCACGTTGCGGCCGTTCGTCAGCTCGGCGTAAACGACAGGCACGGGCCACGTCTCATTGTAGCCAGAAAGAAGGCGCTGGCCTTCGACGACGTACGAGACGATGGGGCCATTGATGTCGTCCACAGCGGGCCAGGAAACGCGCGCCTGGGTGTCCGAGATCGGGATAACCGTGGCTTGCAACGGGGTCGGGGGAAGGCCGGGCAAAGTGCGGGCCAGCACCTGGATGGCAGACGAAGTCAACGAGCTTCCAATCACAAAGACATTGAAGGTGTAGTTCCTGTAAGGGAGCAATCCAAGGAACACCTCCTGATAGGATTGCTGCGTGGCCGTGTTGTAGGCGGCGTTGTCGGCAGGCAAAGGGGTTCGGGGCGGAGCGTTGACAAAGGTCCAAGCACCATCCTCTTCTTGCATGTAACACTCGACACGGTAAGTGCTCAGAACGCTGTTTCGCTCCCAAGGCTGAGGGCCCTTCCAGCTGACAGTAATTGACGTGTTGGATGTAACTTGCGCATCGAGCAGACTTTCGTCCAGGATGGGGGCGCTCGGGGAGGTCGTGAAAGTGCCGGTGCGCGAGTCGCTCGGCGGCGAAGTACCAGCACCGTTCGTCGCTTGAACAGTGACGGCGTACGTGCGGAATGGGAAGAGCGAAGTAATCGTTCGGGTAAACACGTTGGCGGCGCTGTTCGAGCTCTGAGTGGGTGTCGCATGCGAGTCGGTAAAACTAGTGTCAACAACCGAAACAGTGTAGCCCGCCAGTGTTCCGTATGGGAAGTTTGGCGCAGCATAGGTGATACTCGCGCCATTCGCGTTGGGGGTCATGGTCAACGTTTCAGAGCCAGCAAAAAGAGGAGTTGCTTCAGTGGTTTTGAAAGTAACTGCAGCGCCGAGTGCAGTCGATCCCTTAGAATTGACGGCAGTGATGATGTACGCATAATCCGTGAATGGCGTCAAACCAGTGTCTACGTAACTCGAGGTTGTGAGACCGGAAACAATTGGAGTGCCACCGCGACTAACCGAGTAAGTCACAGCGGACGCGTCTTGAGGGTACGGAACATCCGGCCATTCGAGAGTGATTTGGCGGGACGCACGATCGCCCGTAAGGGACGACTGAGTCAAGGCACCCCAGCTAGGTTTAGAACCAGCGGTTGTCACGGTCAGGAACGTGTTGCTCGGAACAAAGTTGTTGGTAGAGCTTTTAACGTGCACAGTCACATTGTACTGCACATAGGGTTCATAACCAGTATTCGACGCTGCGGCGACTGTCACGGCGGCCGAATTGATGGACACGGTTTGGGAGAAAAGGGTCGGATCGGGGAACGCTGGGCTTGCGGTGATTTGAGTGGCCACAACTCGATACTTCAGGTTGCTTGGATTGTCTTGAGCATAAACAGGAGCCGCCCAATTAAACACGAACGCGCTTGTGGTCTGTCCTGAGGCAGACAGAGTGGGAGCGGTTTGCCAAATGGGGTCCGCGGGGTCTTGACGCAAAGATGAGACAGAAGAGAACGGCGAGGAGAAACCAGAGTTTGCATTCTTGGCCAAAACTGTCCAAGTGTAAATGACGCCTGGGTAGAGCCCAGAGACAGTAGTGCTCGTGGCGAGGAGAGTGCTGCTGAAGGTTTGGATGGTTTGAGAGCCAGGGTTGGGTTGCCCAGCTGTGTACTGAACCCAATACACAATGGGGTCACCACCGTTCTTGGTCGTAGGTGCAGGCCAAGAAATGTCTGCGGTGGTCGTCGTGACATCAGAGGTCGTAATGGACGGTGCGTTGAAGTACGGCGCGAGAGCAGGCACACTGACGGAGCCAGTCGAGGGAGTCGAGGACAAAGGACCAGCGTTTGTGATTGTCCACTCCAAATCGTAGACTTGGCTCGCTTGCATAGTGACCGTGGTGGTGTCAGATGTAAATGTCGGGGCCGAGGTGAAACTGCCAGAACTAGTCAGCTTGTATCGCAGCAAAAATGTCACACTGGCTGAGGCCGGAGTGCCGCGATAGTACGCGCCAGTCAAATTAAACGTCACAGCATAGCTGGTTGGTCCATTCGAAACAAATGCAGGCACGATCTGACTGGGGTCAATAGTTGGCGGGGCAGCGGCGGTTCGGATTGAGGAAAGGATGGCGGTGGTAGAGTACTGGTCATTGCGCACAGTCAAACGGTAATCGTAAACCGTGTAAGGCGCCAACGATGCATCGTTGTCGGTCGTGGACAAAGTCGCAGCGGCGAACGTCCCGACAGACACAAAAGACCCTTGAGGGTTGTTGAGACGGCGTTCAACCAGCCATTGCGTGGCAGAATTGGTAGTGGGGCCGTTGATGAGCGTAAGAACGCCATTCCATTCCAGTGAAACAGAGTTGTACGTCTGTCCCGTTGATGTGAATTGGCCTGCCACGATTGTCGGTGCGGCAGCAAGCGTCTGGATGTTGGAGGCGGTCAGAACAGCAGAATCATACGTATTCCCGCTACCGCTTCGGGCGTAAACAGTGAAAGTGTACTGGTTATAGGCGCGAAGGTTGGAGACAGTCACACTGTTCGTGGTGACGACACCTGAGCTTGGGGAAGGAGCTGGAGTTCCGCTGATCGTCCAATAGTAGTCACCAGTCAAGCTGTTCCATGTCGCTGCCGTCCAAGAGAACAGGATGGAATTGGCGGCCGGAGTTGACGACACAGTAGAACTGGAGAAGGTGGCCTGAGACGCGGCAGTTTTGAAGGTCGCAGTGGCAACAGTGGACAAGTTGGCTGTTGGTGTTTGGCTGTTTCTTGCCTGCACACTGTACGTGTAATCAGTGAAGGGCAGCAAGCCAGTATTGTCCGTGGCCGAAGTGAGACTGTCAGCAAAGTTCTTGATCGACAGCACCGAGGGTGAAGTTCGGTCCACCTTATAGAAGAGAGGACCACCGCCATTAGCTGTACCAGTCCATTGGAACGTGAGAGAGTTCGACGAGTTTGCGGTCACGCCGAGCGCAGTAACGGTCGGATTGTCGGCAAAGGTGGTGAACGTGGTCAAGTACACAGGATCCGAAGCATTGCCTTGTGCGTTGGTGAAAACCAGAGAGAAGGCGTACGTCGCGCTCGGAAGCACACCAGAGCTCAGGGAATAGGATGTTGTCGTGGTCGGACTGACCAGGGTTGCAGCACCCGAGTTAACTGAAAGACTCAGTTGATAGCCACTAGTTCCGACTGAACCAGCGCAAGGGCTCAGTGCTGAGTTGGTCCACGAAAAACTGAACGCATTGTAGGTGTAACTAAGCGAGGTAACGGTCGGTGAAAGCACTGCCTTGTCAGCGAGGGTGGTGAAGCTTTTAGCGGGCGTGGTGAAGGATTTGCTGTCACTAGTAGTCGCAGTTAGAGTGTACGAGTAAGCGGTGCACGGATCCAAATCCAGATCGTCGGTAAAGAAAAATTGGCCGGTCGCCGAAGTGGAGCTTGTTCCCCCTGGAAGTGTCAGTGTAGTTGACCCACGCTTCAGAACAAAAGTGATTGGCGTGGGTCCGTTCAGAGTAGTCAAACTCCAACCGACAGTGACAGAATTCTGGGTGATGTACGGTGCGGTGGTCAAGAAAGCGACAGTGGGAGGAGCAGAGGCCGTGGTCACACTGAGTGCACTGACGGGAGAGCTCGTGGAATTGCCGGCAACGGTGGTCGCTCGGACAGTGTACGTGTACGAGGTGTATGGTAACAAGCCCGAATCAGTAAAAGAAAACGGTTGCGGGAGTGAGCCAGTGTAGGATCCAGTACCAGCCGGCAGTGTCGTTAAATCGACTCCGTTACGTGACAGAACTTGAGCCAACGCCAAGTTGGACTCCTGACCGCTGCTGGTAACCGTCCAACTGAGAGGGACTTGAGTGGCAGTGATGGTGCCGGCAGCAAGGGCAGTGCCGATAACAGGGGCGACAGAGTACGTTCTGCCCGTGAAGACTTGATTAACACTAGCGGTACCAAGAATTCCGCTAGAAACAGTGATCCTGACATTGTAGTTCGTGCCAGGTGCGAGCACAAGCGCAGGAGCCGATGTGCCGCTAGAGTAGCCCGTCCAGCCGATGTAGCTGCCGCTGGCCACCTTCTTGTACTCAACGGTGTAGGTGATGGTAGCGGGTGGTCCAGCGGTTGACGCACCGGTATTGGCGACCAAACTCGGCCAGGAGAGAGCGTGTTCATTCACATTTGATGTGGCGTACATCAAGATGCTGTCAGCATTCAGAGTCACATCGTTTGCGGTCGTTTGGGAGTTTTGGGCCCCAGCCGATCCAACGAGAGTTCCGCCAACTCCAGAGTTAGAGTAGACGGAAACAGTGTAGGTGTAGGCAGTGTTTTTGGTCAGGCTACTGTCAGCGAATGTCAGGGCAGTGCCAGTGTACACAGGCGTGGCAGAACCAGGAGTGCGAGTGACACGATATTCCATAGGTGAAGCAAAGCTGCTATACGCAGCCCAATTGAGCGTGATGGAATTGCCAGTGGCTGCCGTGAAAGTAATTTCGAGATCCGCACGAACTGCCAGGAGAAACAACAAAAAGATCAGCTCAAATCTTCCAGAACCAATAGAGCAACAAACCGCACTTACCAGAGCCCACCGCAGCCAAAAGCGCCACAGCGAGCAACAGCAATCTGGGCTTCATTTTGAGAAGCAAAAACAACTAACCGACCAACAAAACAAAAACAATCAAAACAACGACTTCAGGTGAGCTAGGAGTTGAAATCAATCGACCAAATGTAAAGATGAGGGGGTTGGTGCTGTGCGGGTTAATGAACTGGTTCGATGATTCTTGATGTTTGGTTTCTGAGAAGGTGATGAGCAAAAGGAGATTTTGGTTGCCGTCGTCAACCACAAGCCGGTCTCTCGCTCCTCCAACCAGCAAGACATGTCGATAGCAGCAGCAGCGAAGCGGAGAGTGAAGGTGAAAGTGGCCAAAGAGGGGAAACCAGATGAATCCACATAATCATTGCGCTCACGCAAGCAACAACAAAAACAACAGCATTGTCTGTTTGTTTGATGGCGAATTTGATGCACAAACCTCGTTAAACTCTCGATCTTACTCTCATTCACTAAAACCACAAAAGAATATTCGAGATCATTGGATCAAATAAAAATCAAACACAGCCGGCCGCATGCACAGCAACCGGGCGGCACCTGCGCCACTCCCCACGCCCTGGCCAGCAACGCCAGTCCGCTGGACGCATCGGTGCATGCGGCGATGGGGAGTGTCGCAGCACTCAGGCGGCAGAGCGAGGAGCGCAACCATCTAAGTTTTTTGTTGTTGTTTTTAAGCATGCTGTCTCCCATCATCGCCTTCACAACGCTCGGGGTCGCTGTTCCTTTCCGCTCGGTCACTGCCTCTGCTTGATTCGAATGGGTTGTTGCAGCAGGGTGCATCCACAAGCGTGAGCGGGGACAGCGAGGACAGCGTAGGAGAGCAACGCAGCTCGGACCTGAGCCAGGCTGAGCAGACCAAAAAACAAAGCCCGTTTTCGTTCAATTCCTCAATGTGGCAGAGCTCACGTCAAGAGAAGCGAGACAATCGAAAGAGAACAGTGGAGTTGCTCCTTCGGTTGAGTTTGATGATGCGTTTTGGCTTACGGTTGCTGTTGGAAGGGGGTTGGAGAGAAACAACAACCAAAAAAAAAAAAAAAAAAAAAAAAAAAAAAAAAAAAAAAAAACAAGTGATCGTCAATCAAATCAGCTTACTTCATTCGCAATGAGATTTTTGGCGTTGTCTGGTCTGGGTTCGACTCTGTGGGCCGGCATCATGGCTGATATTGTGCGTTTTACTCTTAAGAGGCACAAGGTTTGCAAGTCTGACTCATTTTAAACCTTTTCTTTTTCTTCTTTTCTTTTTGCTTTTTTTTTTTTTGTTCCTTCCAGCATCCACCTGCTGCTCTGCAGATGCTTGAAGACACTCAGATGAATGCGAGTACAACCAGACCACTCAAAGACTTGAACTCTTCCAATGAAAAAGCCTTAACAATGTCTGTATTCACGGATGAATTCGGAACAACCTGACAACAATCGTAGAGCCAACAGTCAACAACCACAACAACCAAATCATGCAGACAATGCAAGATTGGCACGGGCAGGCTGCGAGGCAAGCTGAGCGCGCAGCAAGGCATTCTCTTGCTCCAAAAGCCGGACCCGTTCGTGGAGCGCCTGCATCTCGGTGTCGCGTCTTCGCCGCAGGGTGTTGGCGGCCTGGCAATTCTTGACGCGCCGACGCATGCCCTTGACCTGGGCAAGCACGTCCGCGGACAAGCGCAGCTGCTTGTACAGCTGGTTGCGCTCGCGAGTGCCCATGTTCTCCAAGTCGCCGGGCGTCAGCTTGTCGAGCTGGGCTGCCGCTGCGCGATCGCTGACATGCGACCGCAGCAGCGCCAAAACCGAGACGGACGACGACATGCCATGGCGCAGGTTGAGGCCAGAGGTTGCCACGACGGGCACCTTTGATCCTGCTGGCAGCGACTGCTTCAGCGACTGTTTGGCAGAAGTGCGGAGCTTTGCAGCGGCACCATTGTCGAGCGGCTTGACGCTTGTCATGGCACCAGTCGCTTGGGGGAGGGGCACCTTGGCTGCATCTTCTTGAGCGCCAAAGTCAAAGAGCTCGCTCGCTGTGATGACTGAGGCCAGCTGGTCAAAGTCCTCGGGACTAAAGCAGGCGTCCCACGGCGTTGCCAGCGGCGAAGCGTCGTCGTCGTCGTCGTTGTCCAGCAGCTCTTCCTCGTCGTCCTCCTCAACGTTGAGGTTGAGGTGGAGGGCGGCGGCGGCAGCAGGCTCGGGCAGCAGGAAAAAGTCGAGCGGCGCAGTCTCCAAGTCGAACAAGCTGAGTGCGTTGTCGTCGTCGCTGGATGACATGGTTGGTGGTTTTGTGTATAGAGTATGAACGGGATAGAAGTGGTTTGGAGATGGGACCTTTGGCTTGGTGTGAGCAAAAGGGGGACTACCAAAATTGGAGTGCAATGATGTCACTGTCTGACGTCGGTGTTTCAGGGCTACAAAGATGCGGGGTTTTGAACGGCTGGAACGCTGTGCAAAGCGAGGTGCCGTCGTGACTAGGATTAGAGAGAGAGAGAGAAGGGGAGGGTTAGGTCTCGAGGAGGGGCAGAGCGCGCGGATAAACGGCTGGGCGGTCACAGGGAGAAATGAAGCAATTGGTTGGATTGAGTGATCGAGCGGTTGGGCAGGAAGACTGAGCCCCCAAACTAGGCGATCTCGGCAGCCAATTTATACACACGATGGGCGAGTGCTGGACGAGACGAGTGCTGAATGTTGTCTAATACCACCAGTTGTAGTGGGGGGAGATTGAGCCTGCGTTTTGGCTGATTGTCTAATTTTGCCATTGTCTCGATGTCGCAAAAACCCAGGCCTAGAGCTCGGATGGATCAAGATGATGCCACTTATTTGAGACTATGCGTTTTTTGGAGAGTGCACGTTGCACATCCACATTGGATGCACAAGTGCATTGCAATGCAACGCTCAGTCGTTTTGTTCTCGTTCACTTTTTGGCGCATCCGATCTCTCGTTTGATTGAACATGATGATGGCCTCCATGCGCTCGACTGCCGCCACCCGCCTCATGCTGGTGTCGACGGTGATGCTGCTCGCGGCGGCTGGCCTGGCGTCTGCTGCCGACCCGACGCTGGTGCTGCAGACCAACAATGGCCCGGTCAAGGGCAACGTCCACGCGAACGGCGTTGTGACCTTCCACGGTGCGCCCCCCCCCCCGATTCTCCTCCTCTCGCTTGTGCTTTTTGTCGTTGTTTTCATGGTGTATGCGCGCAACGAGTTGCGTTGAGCTTGAACGTGGCTTTGACTTGGCTGGCGTGGCTTTGAGCTGGGTTGGTGGAAGGGCAGATGACCTTGTTGGTCCAATTTGTCGTTTGCACTTCCGCTCCAATCCCCGACCGCGCTTCGTTGTTCACGTCGCTTGTTGTTGTTGTTTTGTTGTCCCATCGCGTCGCATTCGCCGTGCGCTCTTCCTGCTGCTGCTGCTTCGTCCTTCTCCTCTCCATCCCAACCCTTCACAAACCCGCTTGAAGATGATGGCTTGCGCATTTGTTACGAGTTATTTTTTGGCTTTTTTTTTTTTTTTTTTTTTTTACTTTTCTCATTAAGTTGCTTCTTTTTTTTTTTCTTTCTACTTCATCTTTCGCTGCTGCTTCCGTTCGCCTCTTTTGCTTCCGCGCACGTGAACGAACAATTGAGACTCGCTCTTCGTCCGATGATTGACTGGAATGGAGGGGTTAGGGGCTGCGTTGAACAACCGCTGTGGTTTGAGCATTTCTTCCAAATGGAGATGAATCTCCGCGCTTCTTCCCCATCGCTTCCTCTTGCAGATCCGAATGCTCACTCGTGAAGATGATTGTCATGCTATTCGGGGGGGGCCCTTTGTGCTTTGAACCAACACAGACATCCCGTTCGCAGAGCCCCCAGTTGGCGAACTCCGCTTTGCCTCGCCGCTCGCGCTCCAGCACACCTGGACCGATCCGATCGACTGCACCTCGGTATGTATGACATGCAGCTCACCAAGTGCTCATCTACTGCGCAAAATCCGAATACTTTGTACTGCTTTTTTTTTGACGGCTCACCTTTGTTGCCCAAACCGACCAAAACGCTTAGAACACGTCCTTGAAGATGTGCCCTCAGGCCCGCCTCGACTACTTCCAGATTGTCGGAACTGAAGATTGCTTGTATCTCGACATTTACATGCCTCCGAACGCGCTCAACTCGAGCACTCCTCTGCCTGTGGTACGCTTGAGCACTTTGCTGTTTTGCGTGTCGCTCGCCTCCAACCTCTCACATTGGTCCTCGCGGCTTTGATAACCCTGGACAATCCACATTCATCCGCCACCTTGAATTTTTTTTTTTTTACAGATGTTCTGGATTTACGGTGGCGGGTACGGCGACTGATGGAGTGCTGTTTGCTCGCGGATTCGGCTTGGCCGTTGATTCAACGCTTACTTTACACTTTGTGGGCCTTTTCATGTTTGTCTCTGCGATAGTTACATGTTTGGCGACAAGTTTGAGCTTGGACTGTACAATGGCATCAACCTTGCCCTCAACAACAATGCCATTGTAAGTTTAGCTGCTTATGCTTCTTTGCTTTCGTACTGTTTGCCCCGTTCGACTGGTCACTGAAATCCTCTTCCTTCGCACCATCAATTTCTCCCCTCGCGCGCTTCAAGATTGTCGCTGCCAACTACCGTGTCAACGTCTTTGGCTTCCTCGCCAGCAGCATTTTGAAGGAAACGGATGCCCTCAACTCGACCGGCAACTTTGGCTTGCTCGACCAGCGCCAGGCCTTGCAGTGGACGCGCGACAACATTCTTCACTTTAACGGCAACAAGAACCAGATCACCATTTTCGGCGAGAGCGCGGGTGCCTTCTCGGTGTGCTTCCACCTCACCTCGCCCGCTTCTCGCGGCATGTTTGCCTCTGCCATCATGGAGTCTGGCACGTGCTCGTCGACCTTCTTCTTCCAAACCCTCGACAATGCGCTTGACTTTGGTGCCCTCTACGCCTCCACCTTTGGCTGCAACGCCACCACCCAAAGTGCTGCCGATTTCCTCAAGTGCCTGCGCACGACCAAAGCGGAGGATCTCATGGCTGGAGTGCTGTCGTGGTGCGTTTCGTGCTCATGAGATTGGTTTCGTGGCTTTTTTTTTTTTTTTTTTTTTTTTTTTTTTTTTTTTTTTTTTGTCATTCTGGAGCACTTTGCTAAGGTTGTTTTTGTTCTTGCGCGTTGACAGGTTTGGACCCGACTGGCCAAATCACAAGAACTGGCCTCCGACGACCACCTCCGACGTGCCAACTGAAGGCTTTTCTGCTACGCCGTTGCCAGCGTTTGCCCCAGTGTAAGTTGTCGAATTTTGCTCTGTGCGGTCTGCACAATGCTTTTTTTTTTTTTTTTTTTTTTTGGGTCGCCAAAATTCTCACTTCCCTCTCCTATTTCTCTCTGTCTCTAGGATGCCGTGGGGCCCTGTCATGGACGGATCGTTCCACGCTCTCTCCGATCTGCCGCTCAACCTCATCACGCGTGGCGATTTTGCCAAGGTGCCCCTGATTACCGGCACGAACGCGAACGAGGGCGTGGTCTTTGTGCCGCTTGGCCCGCTTGTTGACCGTGGCGTCACCTATCCTCTGACCGACGCAGGGTTTGACAGCCTGATGCATCATCTTTTCAACGACACGACGGCAGCGCTGGTCGAGACGCACTACCCGCGCAAGGACTACCTCACGAACGACGGTCGCGCCACCCGCGCGCTGACCGACTTTTTCTTCACCTGCGACGCACGCCGTACTGCCCGCGCCTTCAACGACCACAACGTCACTGTTCACTTGTACCAGTACATTTACAAGGACAACTTTATCGACGGAAAGCTGCTTGGCGACTACCACGCCTCCGAGCTCTACTTTGTCTGGGACAACCAAGTCCCCGCCGTCGTGCATGACTTTAACGAGAAGGACAGGCTCATGGCTGCCACCTTTGGCACGTACTGGACCAACATGCCCAAGGTCGGCTCGCCGAACGCGTCGTGGAACAATGCCACTTTGAACCCCACCTGGCCTGCTTACACTCGCTCGAATGACTTGCACATGGCCCTGAACGTCCCGCCGGCCACCGGCACCAACCTGCTTCAGCAAAAGTGCGACTTTTGGGATTCTGTTCAAGGCGGCACTGTTGTTTCCTCCATGCCGTAAAACGCCCGACCGCTTGTTGTCGCTTGTGTTTTGTGTGAGTGTGTGTTGTTTTCTTCTACCAGCACCAACCCGTCTTTGAAGTCTGGGAGGTCTGTGTTGTTTATGGGATTGTTTTATATGGTTATTTTTGTCATTATGATTGTTATTACTTGTTCACTGAGTGTTTCGTGGTGTTTGGGTGAGTACGAGGTGGAGGCGAGGGGGGGGTCAGTTGAGTGACTGGCTCGAGTACAGTTGAAGGAGACCTCGACGATCGTTCACGCCGAGATCTGGCTCGATGTTTTTTGGTAGGATTCTGGTCCGTTGTGTTTTCCAATCCCTGGGACGTCTATTTTCCATCTATTCCGCCATTGCATGTTCGTATACCATAGATATACATAATCCCTGGCAAAATTAGGGCATGCAACCCGGACAGTTCGGGCGGGGGCGATCGTGTTGTCGAATGCTCTGATACTCGCAAGTTGCGCATGCCACAGCACTGTCCTGGTGTCTTCCTCGACTCCCGCTCCGCTTTCATTTTTATTCTCATAACTTGTTTGTATTTCTGTGAGGAAGGCGAATGGAATTGACAAGTTTGAAATCCTTCATTGCCGCACTTGTGGGGCAGAAAACCATTTGTTGAGAGAGGACATCACGATCAACTTCACCGTGCATTTCCACCAAAACACGGACGACGAGCACAAGCACACACACACTCACAGAAGAAGCATTTTCAAGGAAAGGGGTATTGTGCCTTGACGGTGGTCGTTGCCTAGCCGACTCCGAGAGTGTTGCTCAAATTGACACGTGCGTTGGGGGCGACCCCAAGCACGCTAGGGCCCGCTCTCTCTACATTTCTGACTTGAAACTATATTTCGCATCTATCAGTAGTGAATTTATTGGCGGGGGAACAGCGGTACAATGAAACTCACGCTGACAATCAGCGTCGCTCGAGTCGCCAAGTTTATCGACCATGTCCGTTCTTCGAGCCGGCGTGAGACTCACCAAAGCTCACAAAAACTGCGCCAATAACCGAAAGTTTCTTCCTACGCTGAACAAGGTACCCAGCCTCGTGTAGAACGGAGCTGGCTAGCTCGACCAGTCTCAAATGGCCTGCCAACTCGTGACCAAACGAGCCTGTCCCATCCTTGGTTTGCCCATGAGTGTACACAGCATTGTAGTGTGGAAGAGGCAAGGCGGCAGGTCTGGGAGACTGACAGACTCTCAGATCGCCATCGTGCAACATCGGAAGTTCCCGGACAATCGCGTCCCCTGCAACGCCATCGCAACCGACTGCTTCCGCTTTTTAAGTCTTCCAATCCAGGAGTATCAACAAGTACATGGGCAAAAGGAGAGTGACAGTGAAACGAAACGCCTCGTAGAACGAAGCAAAAGAGAGAGAGAAAAAAAAACCAAAAGAAACAAAAAAAAAAGAAGGCGGTATGCTCGATGCAGGGATCGAACCTGCGACCGTGGCGTTATTAGCACCACGCGCTAACCAACTGTGCCAATCGAGCTGAAAGGTGCAGGGGCAATTGAAAACTTGAGACAAACATTCTCAGAAACGGACAGGCCAGATGATTGTTTCGTATTCGCATCTGCCCAACCAGCATCCAGCTCGATTGGCACAGTTGGTTAGCGCGTGGTGCTAATAACGCCACGGTCGCAGGTTCGATCCCTGCATCGAGCATACCGCCTTCGTTTTTTTGTTGTTTCTGTTTTTTTTTTTTTTGTTTCCAACACCATGTTGCCACCACCACCACCTCCTCCTCTGGCATTCTCGCTTGTTCCTCATGATTTACGATCTGCAGTCAATCACATTCACAATTCGCTCGCTCGCTCGCTCTCCTCCTTTTTAGTGCTTTGTTGTTTTTCCACCTTTTTTTTTTTTTTTTTTTTTTTTTTTTTTTTTTTGCGTTTCCTGCTCTCTCAATTCCAGTTGATTTTCAAACCCTACCACACAAAATGACGGAACTCTTTCTTGCCATTTCCCTCGTCGGACTGACCATCTCGGTCGTCATGCTCGTGCAGGAGCGCAGCAAGCACGCCAAGGCGCTGAGCCAGGCGCGCGATGAGATGGCCAAGGCGACGGCCGAGGCCCTTGCGCAGGAGCGCGCCAAGCTCGCGACCACGGGCGCCGAGACTGCCGAGGCGAGCAGCAAGGCGCTGGACGAGCGCTGGCAGGCCAAGCTGAAGGCTGCGGCGGCCGAGCACGAGAAGGCGCTCGCGACGGCCAAAAGCCAAGCAACAGCTGAGATCAAGCGCGCTGACGAGGCGCAGGCTGCCCTCGCTGCTGCCCAGACCAAGCACAAGCACGAGCAGAGTCAGGCAAGCCAGGCCAAGGCCACGTCGGATGCCCACGGCAAGCGCGCCGATGAAGCGCAGGCTGCGCTGACCGCTGCGCAAGCCAAGCACAAGACCGAGCTCGAGTCGGCCCGCCAGCAAATCAAGACCGAGTCTGATGGCCACGCTAAACGTGCTGATGAAGCGCAGGCTGCTCTGGCTGCCGCACAGGCCAAGCACAAGACCGAGCTCGAGTCGGCCCGCCAGCAGATCAAGACCGAGTCTGACGGCCACGCCAAGCGCGCCGATGAAGCACAGGCTGCTCTGGCTGCCGCACAGGCCAAGCACAAGTCTGAAGCGGACGCGCATGCCAAGCGCGCGGACGAGGCCCAAGCCAGCCTCGCCGCTGCCCTCACCAAGCACGCCGCCGATCTCGAGCAGGCTCGCAAGTCTGCCGCCGCGGATGCCAATCCCCAGGCAGCCATCGACCTCGCACTGCGTCAGGCTGCTGACCAACACGCGGCCAGCTTGCAGCAACAGCAAGCCACCCTCGAGAAGAAGCGCGTCGACGAGCTGGCCGCTGCCCAAGCCTCGTTCGATGCCAAACTTGCCGCTGCTGCGCAAAAACACCACGCAGAGTCGAAGGCCGCACAGGCTCAGTCTGCCGAGTCGCAAGCTGCTCAGTCCAAAGCTGCCGCCGATGCCGCCGCTCTGGCGCTCCGTGTCAAGACACTCGAGGCGGAGCTCGCTCCCTCTCAAGCTCGGTTGGCGCAACTCGAGGCGCTCCTGAGTGCTCAGCAGAAACAGGCTGGCCTTGATTCGCGCATTGCCGCCCTCGAAGGAAGCATGACTTCGTCGTTGACTGTGCTGAGTGCGATTGAAGCGCAAGTCAAGCAACTTGCCAGCGCTGCATCCATGGCAACTGCTTCTCACTCGGCGTCTTCTGGCGCTAGCAAGTCGAGCACGACTGCGTCGTCTTCTGCTTCTGCTTCTGCTTCTGTTTCTTCTGCTTCGTCGTCGTCGTCGTCGTCGGCGTCATCGGCAGCTGCGGCGACTAAAGCTCCTGTGAAGACTGCTGCGCCTGCGCCGAAAGCTGCCAACAACGCTTCCCAGGCCTCTCCAGCAGACTCTGGCGCTCTGGCATCGCGAATTGCGCATCTTGAGGCGGATAACCGATCGTCCGAAGCGCTGCTCGACTCGTTGGAAGCCGCCGTGCGCTCAAAGCTGGCAGCGGCCGCCAGCGCAGCTCGTGCCGGCGAAGAGGCGCATCTCATCGACAACCTGCAATCGCAAAACCAAAAGCTCGTCCACGATCTCGGCTCCGTCCAGGAGAAGCTGGCCGATCTGCGTGAGGATTTGGTGCATCTTCGCGCCCATATGGTTCATGCCTAAGCCTCCTGCTTGTGCTTCCGTTTTTGATCTTGTTGTTTTCGTTCGTGATTGACGTTTGCCCCGTTGATGCTCGAGTTTCAGCGCATCTGTACCTCGACAACAAGTTTTTTTCCCTCTCTCCCTTTGTTCTTTCCGATGATCATGTTCGTGCCATGCACCGAAAAAAAAAATGTATGCATTTTCTTGCCATCCTACCTGTCGTGGGTGCTGTGAGACAAATCTGCGCATTCTGCGCATTTTAGACCGTGTGGGAGCAGAGGGATTTTCTCACGGACACTTGATGGCTTCTGGGCTTTTTCAGTGTTTCCTACATTTTGTGTGTGTTCTTGCAGTTGTGCCGAGTTGTGTCACCTCTGGTGGTTTTCACACGCCCGATTCCCTCGCTCTCTCATTGTAGCAATTTGAGTTCGCTAGATCAAAACCCGGGCTTTTCCTTTTCCCTTGGTGTTCTTTTTTTCTTGTTCCGCATCGTTTACAGTTGGTTTGGCTTTCGCAACAGGCTTTCGCAGTGGCCAGAGTCGGTCTCCCCGAGACACACACTACTCTGTCAATGAAGCCATCGGCCAGCCTGATGATCACCGTTTGGCCTGCTTTTTCTTTTTCTTTTATTTTGATGTTGCGGGTGACCGTGGGAAAAAGGCACTTTGCATCCGTGTTTTTTTTTTTGGTCTTCTTTTTCTTTTTGGGTCTTTCGCGGTCTCGTTCGCATTTGTGTCCTCGATCACGCCGCGAACGATGGTTTGCGCGAGCGACACATGATTCAAGACTGTGACTGTCTGACCCTTCAAATTGGGAGAGCAAACGGGAGACGATGAACCGCGAGGAACCAACAAGAAGAAGAAGAAGGAAAAAAAAAAAAAAAAAACCACCAGAAAACAAAACAAACGAACACCTTTGGATGTTGATTGTTTCTGCTCGCACCTCTTTTGTCCAGCTCTCCTCGTCTCCTCGTCTCCGTCTCCTCCCCTCCCCCGCCGTTCCTTTCATCGCCCATCCATACATGCACCACTCGCACTCGCACTTTTCTCTGCGTGTCGTTTGCATTGCGTTCATGTTGTTTACTTTGGCGTGTGTCATTCCTGTTTTTTTTTTTTCTTTCCCCCATTGTATTTTTTTCCCATCACATTGCTTTTTGGGGGTTCTTTTTTTTTTTTTTTTGGTCTCAGCGTACATCTCTTCCCTTCTCTCCTCTCCCTCTGATCTGTCCGTCAGTTTGACGGCTCAACACTCCTATTCAAACCTTGCAATGATGATGCAAACCCAGCAAATGCACACACAGGCACAACAACAGCAGCAACAACAACAACAATCGGGCTGGTTGCATGGGGGCGAGCTGCAACAAATTTCCCATGCTCATCCGCTTGCGCATCCAAACACCAACCCCGTGCACCACCACGCCACCAACCCCGGCATGAGCAGCATGAACGGCAACGCAGCAATGTTCATGGCTGGCGGTGGCCCAGGCGCGTACTACCCTGCTGCCACTGCGTCGTCGGCCGGGGGCTTGTTTGTGCAACAGCCTTCGCGGATGTCACCCGGACAGCTTCAGCACCAGCAGCAGCCGATGCTCATTCCCACCGCACACCTGCCTCAGCAGCACCCGAGGCCAATGTTCCACCCTCACATGCACCATCCGCAGCAGCCTCAGCAGCCTCAGCAGCCTTCGCAGCAGCAGCAGCAGCAGCAGCAGCAACAACAGCCGATGGCGTTTGCACCGCCGTTTTCGCACCCAATGATGCTTCCCATGCATGCAATGCCGATCGGCGTCCCGCTGCCCTCGAGTGTCGCTCCGACCTCGATGCCGTCCATGGGCGCGATGCATGCCGTCCATCCCGCTCACGCAGGACCCGCCGATGCAGCAGTGTCATTCCCTGCGACTCGCGCAATCACGGCTCCCTCATCATCTGCTGCTTCTTCTTCTTCTTCTTCCACCCCATCTCCTCCGCCTCCTCCCGCGCCCGTCCTATCTCCCTCGCACTCCACCACCAGCACCAGCAGCAGCAGTGTCCCTCTCCACCACCACCAGCAACACTACCAGCAACATCAGCAACACCAGCAGCAGCAGCAGCAGAGTGGCACGCTTAATGGTGATGGTGCCGTTTTCTCAGGAAGCCAAACCGCACCAGCAACATTTTCCCAGCAGCCAACTTCCGGCTTTGGTCACCCGGGCATGTCGCACTCGCCGCCGCAGCCCGGCAGCCCCTCCGGCCAACACCGCGGGGACAAGTCGACGTCGCTGAGTGCGTCTGTGGTGTCGGAGCAGGCGCAGCGCCCGCAGGGACTCGGAGCGGCAACCGTGGGAAAGGGCGACTTTGGCCACCCGGCGAGCACCCCGCCAGTCACCGCCGCTGCCGCTGTGGGAATGTCCCCATCAGCGAGCGACCCATCAGCCACCTCAACGAGCACAA